TACATATCAACGCACAAGGTCTTGTGTCTTATTTATAAACAAATTTTGTGGCATTTTCAATTATTTATAAATAGGGGGAAAATGGTATCTAAATAATGGCATCTAAATAATAAATTTACAAACGGCGCCCCATAGGCTAACGCTTCATGCACAACAAGCCGTGATGTATAATTTGTCCGCAACCATGCTCCTTGCCAGCTCTGAAGGTTCAAAAGGTTTTTCAACTTTGTGCATTTTCGCTTGACCTTCATTTAGGCAAGTTTTCTTAGACCATAAAGTAAATTTTTAGTGATAATTTCACTTCAAAACAAACTGTCAAAATTTTATATGGCCTCGTGCAAAAATTTAGTTTCAGCGCATTTCAACGGGCGCCGTTGTCATTCCATTCATCAGTTCATGACGAATTAGAGCCAATCATTTAAGAAAGATTTGACAGTTGCCATAATTTTGAAACATTATGAACAAGCACGAAGAATTCGGAAGGTATTTTTTGTGAAAAAAATCAGAAAATTACGAACTTTAGCAATAGTGTATGCTTTTTTTTTTTAATGTTCTCGGTTTTCGATAGAACAAACCAGTGAAAAAGATTACAGTTGTGAGCGTAATTTGTCACCCACGATATTAAAGGTAATCAAATGTTTTTCTCGTGAAATTAGGAAATAATTTCATTTGCGTTTTGTCAAAATTCTGACAATTTCCCGAGCCTTTTTTTTAGGCTCGGGAAATTGTCAGAATTTTGACAAAACGCAAGTGAAATTATTTCCTAATTTCACGAGAAAAACATTTGATTACACATACTTATAACATCATAACGAAGGGCCAGTTGTTCAAGTAGCGCTTACCCAATTTACTAGGGCGTGGCTGTTCATGGGCATTTCCACCCAGATGGCGTTTATTTTCAGGTTGATCTATCTAACATACCAAGACCCCCGTAGTATATTTTGATACTTTTATATAACGGAGATCAGGATAATTGCAAAAATCTGACCTTTTTTCTGTATTTTTCTGGATCAAAAATTGGGCCATAAATTAGCCCAATGTCTGTTCGTGACTTTCCGCTGCAAGACCTCATAGCATTGCAAATTATCAAACCTATACGAATTCAAAGTTAAGAACACAGGAAGTATCATTACCTTTGGGCTCCTTTTCAACAGTTCCTGAAACAAATCAGTATAATAGTGAGTGGCATTTAGCAAGCAAAATATGATGCAATGGCTAGGCTCTGTTCATAAAACACAATTTTCGTAACCAGTTTTGCAGAGGGTACTGATGTCATAACCAACTGGGGAATGATGTTACAGTTGTTCAAGCTACCCTTAGACCCAAGTCACGAGGGCGTGGTTGTCCGTGGGTATTATCCCCCCAGGAAAACGTTTATTTTGATGCTGATCTCTAATACGCCAAGAGCTGGTATATTTTAATATTCTATATTAAGGGAAAAGAGACTACGCTCACAGTCCCTTGTACGGGACCAGTATAATTTCAAAAATCTGACCTTTCGTTCCGCAAAACGGATCAGAAATTGGGTCATAAATTAGCCTGAAGTCTGCTCGCCATTCTTGCCATAGGACCCAATAGCAGGGTTGCCACAGGTCAGGAAATGGTCAGGGAAAAGCCAGGGAGTTTTATTTTGAGTCAGGGAAAACTAAAACTAATATATAGATTTAGCCAGGCCGAAAAGTGGAGCTCCAAAGTTATTTATTCGAATGCTGTCAATAATTTTAATAATCGAACATATGAGGCAAATTTTGGATGCCTTTGTAGTTTCGACCCGAAATTGCACCGCATCCGCGTTGGATTACATTGTAATGCAAATGAGAAAGGTAACCATTAAATTAAAGGAGAAGGTCACTCCAAAAACCGTGTATTTTTTTCCATCACCAATAAAAAGTTCACATTGAGTTGAGTTATTCAACGTTGTTTTAGCTTCTGAAGTGGATGCGATGCCAATGAAAAAGAAGTGAAAAGTTCGACACTGGGAGCCGCCATTTTGAAAGAATCTTGAAGGCCAGGCCGCATATCCGTGACGTCATTCAGCCCGAATTGGCGCGAAGCTCAAAGGCTAAAGCTCTCCTTTTCTGTTCTAAATTCGTTTATTCAGTTGCGAGCTAAAATGTTGGCCCCGGGCTGTAAAACCCGAACCGAAAAGGATAGGGAAAGAGGAGTGACTTTCCTTAATTTGCCTGCAAAGAACAAAAAATTGCCAAAGAAGTGGTTCGAACAGCTAYGTCAGGATCGGATGAGAGATTCATGCCAAAAAAACTCRAAAATGTGTATGTGTSSAACGAGCATTTCACARRCGACTGTTTCAAAACTGAATACCGATTTGAKCTTGTGGRTGGAAACACWAGAASKAGGTCATTGMAGAAARATGCTTTCCGACAATTTTTCAACGGAAGGCCCTTGTAAAGGCACGCATTACAAGCGAACGGCGCATCGCAAGGAACGAAAAGAGGTAGCTATCAGTTATACTTTTCATTGTTTAAAAATATTTTTGCACGGCAGAACTGTCGTTGACTTGATTTGGTAAATATTAGTTCTGCGCAAGAAATTGAAGCTCCCCGCTGAACGGGGACTCGAATTTCGAGAAAAAACCTTGGGGCCAGCTGGCCCCTAAGTTTTCAGGTTTGGTCACCAGCACAAGTATTTTAGTCGCCAAAAATTTTCAACCCTTCAGGCTTAATATATTTTCACGAAAAGACGCTAAAACGGCGTGAATCACGGGTTTTGCATGTATATATCAGTTTGTCGCTTTTTTTTCTATAATAACAGGGAAAATCTATTCTTCATTTACCAGTCTTACCAGTATTTATAAAAAGCTTCTATGTTGCAAGCTTTGATTCATTAGTTTTCGTAGGCTGGCGCAAGGTTTTTCGTGTTTTCGTGTTCATCGATGCATATAGCGATTGCGCGCATTTTTTTGGGTGAATTTATTAAATTTCTTAGGATACCGTGGGAACTTCAAATGCTCTCCAGATTTCTGTAAAATTACATGTCAGACTAACCCGCTTCGGTTTTCTTTTATCGAAAAAGCATTTTTTTCGATTTATAAATCTTTTGTGTGAGCCGAAAACTCAGAGCGTGTTTAATAATCGGCCTTGACAGCCAGGGATTATTTAAAATACTTACAAATTTTAAATGCTGTTTAATTTGATTTGAAATACATCGGAAGAAGTAGTTAATTGTACATCAGTCCTATCTATATATCGACAATTACCGATAACAAGTCCTGCTATAGCGAAATCCCATATCCGCATGTAAATAATATTTTGTCTGAAATGTGTTGCAATTTGTTTTCAATTTTATCAACACAATTCATCATTAATTAAGGACAGTTTTTTTTTTCATTCACATTATTTTTGGGAATTACAGTTGCTAACGAATGCAGTGCTACGGCAAAAAATGAAGCTGCAATGTTACTGCATGCTTTGTCAAGTAACGATGCCAGTAAACACGACACATGCGATATGAAAAACACACTTGCAGAGTCAATTTTCCCTCCGCTGGTTTACGCATGTAAAAGTTGTATATACTTTTTTCTTCTATCCAAAATTTATTACATATGCTTAGCTTTCCAACAATACAAATTACAATTCTCACAAAAAATCTTAGGTATTGATAAGGAATGTCGTCAATTTCACATTTCACGTCAAAGACATCGATTTCACGCACTTCGCATCTTACATGTAAAGTCACTGCGTATTTCACAAGAGTCCACGTTGTCCATAAATGTAAAGAAACCTAGGCAAACACGCATGAGCACGAGCAAGAAGTTTCCAAATCTTATAAGTAAAAAGACAGACTTGTGAGGTGGAAAGCATCCGCCCGATTTAAACACACCATTGAAAACTCGTCAGTTTCTGTGATACCAGAACTGCCTCCGCATTGAACCGCCAGTAACATAATCAAAGTGCTCTGTGAGCAAACTCGTGAATTGAACAAAAGAGTTAAAATATTTTTTTGGATTATATTTAGTATTATCTGGTTTAGGGAATATTGTGGTTGATTTTCATATTTAGAGTACGAGCAGTAGTTCAGTGTTCGCTAATAAGGTACCAAGGAAACAAAGTAACATTTGGATAAGAAGGCATTACAACTGAAAAGATCATGCCAAGAAATAGGTTGAAAAGTGGACATTGGAAATATTGAAAAATCAAGGCAATATTGCCTTAGTGAAAACATTAATCATTTTCCCTTTGTCAAATGAGATAAACAGAAACGAGTTTTGAGTTTTGTTGCAAAATGGCATTTTCAGGTTCTGCTTACAAGGACGTACATGTACAAGGACACGTTCATGGCATTTTCGATGGAAGTTTCCGATGTAAGTTTCCGATGTAAAAAATTCCGTAAAATGCAAAGTCTAGGCGATATTTTCATTTCAAGTTGCAACAAGGCCACGAGGAAACATGGGTTATTTTCCTTTGTCGAGGGAAATTAGAGAAAATTAAGCAAAAAGAGAGGAAAAGACTTCCAGCTCACGCACGGCACGAAAAATTGGATTTACTCTAAATTTGATCCTGATCAAAGTCGAGGTCAAATATGATCATAGCTTTGATCCAAACTTTAACGTGCGTCAAATGTGTGTCAAAAATGTCATTTGATCCATGACAAAGAAGAGGGCAAATGTGATCTTAACTTTGACTCCACCTTTGACCCACGTCAAAGGAGGAATCAAATATCTTATAAATTTGCTATACATTTGATCCCTGTCAAAGGCGAGATCAAACATGTCAATAACTTTGACTACAGTTTTGACGCGCGTTAAAGGTGTTCAAAGACACCACGGCTTTGCATACCTTTGATCTCTTATGTCAAAGGCGTTCAAAGGCACCACGGCTTTGCATACCTTTGATCTCTTATGTCAAAGGCGTTCAAGGGCGCCATGGCTTTGTACAACTTTGATCCTACGGCGTGTCATGTCAAAGGCGAGGTCAAATATGGCCATATCCTGCGACTCCTCTTTTAACGCCCTAATAGCCTGCGTTTTCGTATTTTTTTCCGTTTTAACGATTAAATGAAAGCTTGCTTTCTTGCCAATGTGTATTTTTTTAATAAAAAAGTTTTCACTTGACTGGGAGGGGGCACAAGAAAACAGCTCGAAAACAGCTCGAAAAACAGCGGGAAAAACGCGGTTGCCAGCGGCTTCCCGCATTTTTCTGGCCAATCAGGGAGGAGACTAAAGGTCAACGAAGTCGGCTGTGAGGAAAGCAGACATTTTTCTTCATTTGGCTTCATTATGGCGGATCTGGTGAAATTTTCAATGCGCTTTGGACCAGGAAAGGTAAGTCTTTGAATTTCGTTCATTTGTTTTCAATTTTCAGAGAATAACGGAGTTTAAAAAGTAAATTAAACGCAGCAGTGGCTACATAAAGAGCTATGAATTGCGTATATTCATAGCAGGACAGATCCTCGGCAGTGAAAACATTTTGGTCGAAGATTAATTGCACTTCACTGAATCACAATTGATCGGCAAAGCTCTTCGTTAAGAAAAGACAAGACTTTATTTTCAATTCACATTTACTCATTTACAAAAGTTGACAAAGATAATTTTTTTCTTACTCAGTCAAGTCTTGTGCATTAAATTGAAGTGTTTGTCATAGCATAGATTTTAGCATGATCAGTGCTTGAAATAAACGCAACTCAATAATTAAGCTTAATTTTAACTCTATCTACGTATAAATTGTTGTGCACAATGCCTCTGGTAATTTCTGAGCTTAAACAATTCCCTTGAAAGAAAGCTCATGCAAATATGAAGGAAATTTGCATTGAAGGAAAAACTCAGTCAGCCATGCATGACAATCCATCTCGACCTGACTT